CGCTCGGGCGCTTCGCGCCCCAATAACTCAGCCCCCCGGCATGGTCGCTTCATTCTCTCAATTGGGCCCCCCCACTTTGAAAACCGTGGCGCCGCCCCTGTGAATGCTCGCAACCTGTAAGATTTATTTCGAACAGTTCCACGTTTCCAACTCGTGAATAACTCTCCATATATTTACACTGTAAGAGCCGTAATATTTCTGCTTTCGAGCTATTTTCAGTTCGGATTTCCGGAAGGTTCTGACGGCGTGCGTTGACCGCGGATTTAGCCACCTTCTCGGCTGCATGGCACAGTTCTTCCGGCCAGCTAATGCAAGTTCTGCCGGCCAGAGTGACACGATCGTTGTGAAGTAAGCAAACATCACTGCCTATCGATGCAATACTGTTGGGCAGTAGTACGCGATGTCTTCGCTGGAGAAAGCTACACGGAGTTGCGTACGATTGTGGTAATCGCAGAGGTCGTCTGTCTGGTTTATGCCGTCGATGATCATTTTAGTCGTATTGTATTTTTTAGTGCCAACGACGTCTCGATGCCTCTTGCCAAAATCATTCCCATTGTTAACGGACTTGTGAACACTGTGTGTACGGATCACCAGGCTGGGCCATTGATAAAGGTATTCATATACGTTCTACATGTTTAGGCAGTTATACGGCTTAAGGGAGTTCTACGTCCTTGTGTAGTTTACCCCTTGTTAGGCAATTCAACGTTTTTAGACAGTTCCACCTATTAATTAGGCAGTTCTATGTCTTTATGTAGTTCAACGTCTTTAGGCAGTTCTACATATTTAGGCAGTTCTACATATTCAGGCACTTCTACATATGCAGGCAGTTCTACATATTCAGGCAGTTCTACACATTCAGGCAGTTCTATGTCCTCAGACAGTTCTACATCCTCAACATATTTATGCAGTTCTACATATTCTGTCAGTTCTACATATTTAGGCAGTTCTACGTAATTAGGCAGTTCTACGTAATTAGGCAGTTCTAAAGGCAGTTCTACGTATTAGGCAGTTCTAAAGGCAGTTCTACGTAATTAGGCAGTTCTAAAGGCAGTTTTACGTAATTGGGCAATTTGACCTCTTTAAGCAGTTCTACGTATTTAGGCAATTCCGGCCGTGGAGCTGCAGTTAGGGTTATTGTCAGATTTTTACATGCTGTTTCGACTTTCAGCGACTGCTGCTCATCGAATCGATGAACGACTTTGCGGCAAACATCTACGAGACGTTCAGTGAGCCACCGATTCTTACGGTGTCGTAGCACCGTACAGCGTACAGCGTGAAGATGCTTACTCCTGCGTGATGGAGCAGCACAAGTGGGCCTGCAGTTTGACACACTTAGAGTAGTCGGCACAACACGTCAACTTTCGTAGCTACTTGTTTTAGTAGTAATATTTGAAAATGTTATATGTGGGGCAGATAAAATCAGTAGTTAATAATAATAGATCTTTTATTAGTCACTCCTGATAAAAAATTGCTTTTGCTGAGCTGTCCGCTGGATTTTTATTAGATGTACGATTTTATTGCCGGTATGTTGACCAATACCGTTTATAATGTCATTCGATTGTACTATTAATATGTAAATAATCTGTAATAATGAGGATTAAAATTCGCATTTAAAAAAAATATATTTGTCATTGCTTTCTATGTTCTTCATGGTTCCCACAAAAATGTGAATGATTTTTTCAAGGACATTTCAAGGACATGTTTTTTTCAAGAACAATCTGTGATAAGTAGTTTGAGCTTCTTAGAGTCATCATATCAGGAGAGGAGTCTATCAATAGACTCCTGATCGTATATACCTTAGATTCATATATAAAATAAAAATAGTTGTTTTACACGAGGGCCGACAGCAGATTAAACAGCCACTATAGCTAGCCGATTACCGACGTACACAATAGTCGTTTCATATTGTCATTCTTGTAGATTCATGCCACAGTCCTGTAACAATATGTAAAGCTTTGATGTAACATGTATCATTCAGAACTATGTGTCACACAATGTACTGTATCACTCGGAAATTTAATTATTTTAACTGCTCAACACTTGCATTCGTCAGATTTTTTCTCTATGAAAATGACTGTCTTCAGTACATGGACATATTTCTCCTAATATAGTTAGTTCTCTCGCCTTCCCGCTCACCCTCTCCCTCTCCTCCCTAAATTGACTACGTCACGAATTTTCTATGGTAAAATTGTTGTTGCCATTTTTTTACATTAAAAGTAAGAACTAACGGTACTAAACGTATCGTCAAATTCTTACCTGATAACATTGTTTCTCAACTAGTTAAAAATCCAAAAGACCTGGACGATTTGATATTAATGTTCTCAACATTAATTGCTTGCTATGGGCTATGTATGAGTCACGAGTGTATGTTCACATCGAACAATATAGTAAAACAGGAAGTATAATGCAGCAATTTAACCATAAAAAGTGAACAGAATGACTTATATTTTGTGTAAAAGTGGAATTTTTATTTTATTTTACTATTTACGGTGACGTAATCACTTTAATATAAAGTTACATATTCACATATTCTAGTATGCTGTACACTATAAGTCTGTTCCCCCTCAGACAGGGCAAGTTTTTATGAACAGTTATGAAATCTTGTGATCGATGCTTGCAGGTCTGGTAGCACTTGCAAGATTGGCAAAATGGAGACTAGAGGAATGGCAGAAGAAAGAAGCCGAGGAGTCACTGAGACAAGCCAAGTAAGTGACAAAGTAAAAATATAATAGTTGTCATAACAATTCAGTGAGACAATTTTATATTGATGTTTGTACATTCACTAGAACTGAATATATTTTAGTGCACAATATATGTTTGTCTGAAGTTTTTTTATACTGCCCTGAAGGTGTAAGTAATACTTTTCACGTTGTGAATATATGTTTTTAACCAGTATTGTAAAAATCTATCTATTTTGTTTAGAAAGCAACATCATTTTGACAACAACCAACGAACTTGCAACATAACAGGTAGATGTTTTTCATGTACTACATAAAGGGTTAGTATAGTATTTGAAAAAGGGACGGTTTTATGGGACGTATGATGAAATAGTTTCTTAAAAAATACAAAACGGTCCACAAATCCTAACATTTCCGACTAAGTATGCATGTAAATTAGATTGTGTCTTGTCGTTCTAGAAGGTAATATGTGTTTGCTTCCATTACAGCGCTGTCATTGTTGCCTAATCTAAGGCAGAGGTTAGGGTTCTTACTGGACACAGACCTGCTAACCAATCTGCTAAAGCAATCGTTAGTATTCCAGTAAAATCACTGTTAAATTATAATTATAATATAATAAATAATATTAATAATCATAATAATTTTTAACTCTGACACAGTTAATTTCGACTTGTAGCTTGTAAAGCCTCATAGGACCGTGTGTGTGTGAGAGTGACGTACATGTGCCTGTCTGGGAATAATAGTGTCATACAAAGCTAAACAGCTTCATGTACACATGTCAGTTGTGAAAGGGTAGTCGGTAGCGGGATCTGCAGGTGGTGTCAGATTAGGGTGCTAATGATGTGTTTTCGTTCTGCAGGCCAGATAATAAAATTGAAATCTGGGAGGAGTTGAAAATCAAAAGCTTTGCGAGGACGATCAGCGCCATCTATGGTGTATCGCTGCTCTTCATTGTATTGCGGGTACAGCTGAATATCCTCGGTGGTTACATGTATGTCGACAGTCTAACCACCAGCGACAGCTCTGAGGTATGGCCCGTGATGGTGAACAGCCATAGCTAGGTTTGTCATTGCGATATTTTTTATCTGTGATGCCACACACTAGGTAATGTCAAACGTTCATAGATGATTTACCCGCATGCGATAATCTGATCGTTATTCGTGTAGTAGAGCTTACGCAAACAGTGATCGGTTAGATAAGAATCGTAAAAAATATATAGCGCACTACCTTCGCCTATGACGTTGCACCTACTTTTACTATTTTGTGCTGGTATGAACAGTTGTAGGAAAGACTGTTGTTGGCCCCACCTTCACTACAGAAGAAATTTCTATGAATTCTATTTAATTTTTATGAATTTTACTTTTTCTGCTGGTATGTGCAGTTGTAGGAAGGACTGTTGTTGGCCCCACCTTTGCTACAGAAGAAATTTCTATGAATTCTATTAAATTTTTATGAATTTTACTTTTTCTGCTGGTATGTACAGTTGGAGGAAGGACTGTTGTTGGCCCCACCTTCGCTACAGAAGAAATTTCTGGTATTGATTGAGTATCTGCTGGGAAAAGGTGTAGAGGATTTGACGGACAGGGTACGGTCAGCTGTTGCCACAGTGGTGGGCAGGTATGAAGTGTCAACAGTCACGCGATATTTCTTCAATTTCAGACAATTGCGGTATTCCTGCGGTTTTCCTCTAATATGCTTACTGCTATTAACTAAAGCGAGTTTGTGGTGGATTTAGATGTTTAAATTCAGGCTTTGTATTATTTCTGATTGCAAGTTATTTATTTGAATCTTTTTAATGATAAAAAATAAGCTAAAAAAATAATGAATGTAATTTATTACATTCATAAGAAACGTGATTCATGGGATAGCATATGGTCGAATTTTTAGTTCACAGTTGATAGCTTTGGAAAAGTTGGCACCCCAAATTATATTCCGTCATCAATTTTTTGCTTGACCGCAGCCTATCCCTGAAGGAACAGCTAACTCTCAGGCACACTGAGGAAATCCTTGCTGACGTGAGGAATGAGATGGAGTTCCATCCGATTCAGAATGGCTGCGAAGAGATGGCGCCAGTTAATTTTATAGATTTCGTCCTTCCGACAGCAGATGAAAATGAAGAGGTAAGAATGCTTGTGTGCAAAAAACTCAAATTGTCGAAAATGAAGCTCACAAGCAATTGGGCGATTTGTATAACTAATAATTGTTTAGATGTAGTATGACAGTTATGATCATCGATGTATGACTGGAGTATGGTTAACATTTCCTATTGATTTTGTTAATGCTCATTGAAATTGATTAATGAATTTTGAAATTAATTATTAGGGCAGATGTCTAACATCATATTTGAACCAGATTAGGCACTAGAACGTGTAGGTCACTAGTGCTGAGAGGGTCTATGTACCCCAGGGTACTGCCGGAACGTACCCTGGGTACGGTCCGGTATACCGGAACGTACCCTGGTACTATCTAATATGCCGTACCGTACCCTGGTACTATCTAATATGCCGGACCGTACTTCGTCTACTCCACTAACGAGTCTAGGGAGTCGCCTACGCCTACTCCCTAACCCTAACCCTAACCCTAACCCTAACCATATCAAATAGTTACCAGGGCACGTTCCGGTATACCGGACCGTACCCAGGGTACGTTCCGGCAGTACCCTGGGGGACATAGACCCTATGAGCGTCACTAGTAGTGAATTATTACAAGTTTGACAGGTGAACAAGTATGTACTGTACGTGTATGTCTGCCGGAGCATGAGTAGAGGTTATGTAATATCAGGAGAGTAATATGGCACCTCGTGTTTCAGGCAAGCGACGATGCTAGCAGTGACGATGTGCTGCTGAAGAGAATCACTACAGATTTGAGAGACGTTCTAGATAGGTTCGTAATAGTTTTGTATGTTAATAGTCCTTTGAGAAAGCTTCCTGGCAGGAAGCGAAACGTCAGCGGTACGTTTCAAACTTGCACGGTTGAGTAAAAATTAACCCTGTTATTTATTTTATTCTACCAACCGAATGAACTTATTTAATGTGTTAATTGTCATCTTCATCTCGCGGTTTGTGAATGCTCGCAACCTGTAAGATTTATTTCAAACAGTTCCACGTTTCCAACTCGTGAATAACTCTCCATGTATTTAAACTGTAAGAGCCGTAATATTTCTGCTTTTGCGCAATTTTCAGTTCGGATTTCCGGAAGGTTCTGACGGCGTGTGTTGGCCGCGGATTTAGCCACCTTCTCGGCTGCATGGCACAGTTCTTCCGGCCAGCTAATGCAAGTTCTGCCGGCCAGAGTGACACGATCATTGTGAAGTAAGCAAACACCACTGCCTATCGATGCAATACTGTTGGGCAGTACGCGATGTCTTCGCTGGAGAAAGCTACACGGAGTTGCGTACGATTGTGGTAATCGCAGAGGTCGTCTGTCTGGTTTATGCCGTCGATGATCATTTTAGTCGTATTGTATTTTTTAGTGCCAACGACGTCTCGATGCCTCTTGCCAAAATCATTCCCATTGTTAACGGACTTGTGAACACTGTGTGTACGGATCACCAGGCTGGGCCATTGATAAAGGTATTCATATACGTTCTACATGTTTAGGCAGTTATACGGCTTAAGGGAGTTCTACGTCCTTGTGTAGTTTACCCCTTGTTAGGCAATTCAACGTTTTTAGACAGTTCCACCTATTAATTAGGCAGTTCTATGTCTTTATGTAGTTCAACGTCTTTAGGCAGTTCTACATATTTAGGCAGTTCTACATATTCAGGCACTTCTACATATGCAGGCAGTTCTACATATTCAGGCAGTTCTACACATTCAGGCAGTTCTATGTCCTCAGACAGTTCTACATCCTCAACATATTTATGCAGTTCTACATATTCTGTCAGTTCTACATATTTAGGCAGTTCTACGTAATTAGGCAGTTCTACGTAATTAGGCAGTTCTAAAGGCAGTTCTACGTAATTAGGCAGTTCTAAAGGCAGTTTTACGTAATTGGGCAATTTGACCTCTTTAAGCAGTTCTACGTATTTAGGCAATTCCGGCCGTGGAGCTGCAGTTAGGGTTATTATCAGATTTTTACATGCTGTTTCGACTTTCAGCGACTGCTGCTCATCGAATCGATGAATGACTTTGCGGCAAACATCTACGAGACGTTCAGTGAGCCACCGATTCTTACGGCGTCGTAGCACTGTACAGCGTACAGCGTGAAGATGCTTACTCCTGCGTGATGGAGCAGCACAAGTGGGCCTGCAGTTTGACACACTTAGAGTAGTCGGCACAACACGTCAACTTTCGTAGCTACTTGTTTTAGTAGTAATATTTGAAAATGTTATTTGTGGGGCAGATAAAATCAGTAGTTAATAATAATAGATCTTTTATTAGTCACTCCTGATAAAAAATTGCTTTTGCTGAGCTGTCCGCTGGATTTTGATTAGATGTACGATTTTATTGCCGGTATATTGACCAATACCGTTTATAATGTCATTCGATTGTACTATTAATATGTAAATAATCTGTAATAATGAGGATTAAAATTCGCATTTAAAAAAAATATATTTGTCATTGCTTTCTATGTTCTTCATGGTTCCCACAAAAATGTGAATGATTTTTTCAAGGACATTTCAAGGACATGTTTTTTTCAAGAACAATCTGTGATAAGTAGTTTGAGCTTCTTAGAGTCATCATATCAGGAGAGGAGTCTATCAATAGACTCCTGATCGTATATACCTTAGATTCATATATAAAATAAAAATAGTTGTTTTACACGAGGGCCGACAGCAGATTAAACAGCCACTATAGCTAGCCGATTACCGACGTACACAATAGTCGTTTCATATTGTCATTCTTGTAGATTCATGCCACAGTCCTGTAACAATATGTAAAGCTTTGATGTAACATGTATCATTCAGAACTATGTGTCACACAATGTACTGTATCACTCGGAAATTTAATTATTTTAACTGCTCAACACTTGCATTCGTCAGATTTTTTCTCTATGAAAATGACTGTCTTCAGTACATGGACATATTTCTCCTAATATAGTTAGTTCTCTCGCCTTCCCGCTTACCCTCTCCCTCTCCGTGACTCTCACCCTCTCTATCTCTCTCTCTCTCTCTCTCTCTTTCTCTCTCAGACACACACACACGCACGCACGCACGCACGCACGCACGCACGCACGCACGCACGCACACACACATACCCAC